GCAGGGTGGTGGGAATGAAGTGGGAAGACAGAGTCTGGTTCCACTGAAGTTATACTGGACCTTGAAATCTTCCTCAGAAAATGAGACAAATCGTGATACCTAGAGGCTGCTGATAATTGATCTTTCTATGGATGTAGACAAAACACAACATGGAAGCAAAGTAAAAGGAGATGAGAACATATCAAGCATCTATCCACTCTTATTCTGTAGTAAATGACAGCTAAATTGAAGAGGCAAGGATTTTTTGGGGTGATATATTTTATTGGACCAACTATATAACTGGGATAGAGTTAGACAAACTTTCAAATGCAAGACATTCTTCAATGATTTAGCTTTGTTTCATTCAGGGGCAGCTCCTAGTTCCATAATAGGTAGGGTCAGAAGGGACCTGAGCAGGTCATCAAGTCCAACCCCCTGCCATGGGCAGGAAAGGATGCTGGGGTCAAACAACCCTGGCTAGGTGATTATCTAGCCTCCTTTTGAAGCCCCCCAGGGTAGGAGTGAGCACTACTTCCCTTGGAAGTTGGTTCCAGATCCTAGCCGCCCTGACTGCGAAGTAGTGCCTCCTGATGTGTAGCCTGAACCTACTCAGCCAACTTACGGCTGTTATTCCTAGTTACTACTGGTAGTGCTTGGGGGAATAAGGTCTCTCCCGTTCCCTGCTGGTCCCCCTTGGACAGCCACCAGATTCCCTCTCAGCCTTCTCTTGTGCAGGCTGAATAGGTTCAGGTCCCTTAGCCTCTCCTCATAGGGCTTGCCCTGCTGCCCCCTGATCATGTGAGTGGTCCTCCTTCGGAGCTGGTCACATCCTTCATGAAGTGCTGCACCCAGTACTCGATGCAGTACTCCAAATGTGGCCTGACCAGTGTCACATAGAGGGGGAGGATCACCTCCTTGGACCAGCTCGTGATGCATCTATGGTTGCATGACAAGGTGCAGTTAGCCTTCCTGACTGCGTCCTCACATTGGCACCCATGTTCATCTTGGAATCAAGAGTGACTCCAAGATCCTTCTCTACCTCCATGCTGACAAGAAGGAGTGTAAACTCCTCCAGTTTAGTTTTCACTTACAGTACAATAAGAACATGTGGATAAACAGTCACTACATGTAGAAGGTCTACAGTGAGTCTCTTTTGCTTTTTAAGTTACAGAAGTTCAATAATTTGTCCATTGTCTAAAACTCCTTAAATTCATATTTGTACTAATGAACAAATATTGCATGATCAGCTAATAAAACGTCCTCTTGTTGAGTGTCCACACTAAGGGGTAGAATGAGGATCACTGCTTGAACCTTACTTTTGATGTTAGCATGATTCACTTCTCAAAGTTAATGTTGCATTCATATGGTAATATGCAGATAATATGTTAATTAATATTACTTTCATTTTAAGCAATGTCCATACCACATGAAACCCCATTTACTAACAATTCTCATAAGTTCTTAAACTGAAGTGGCATAAAGCAAAAGTTGAGTGTAAAATCAGAAATAAAAGAACAAAATTGGTTTTTAAATATTTAGTGCTAGATCCAACTTCTGGTAAACTTATGAGAAGGTTCCCACCGACTTCAACAGAAGCTGAATCAGGCCCTTAGGGCTCTACTAATAGTATGCTGAGGCTCAGCAACAATTCATCCAAGGGACCATGAACGTATCAAATATTTGAAATATGTACTTAAGTATTTAAAAATTAATTAATCACAAAATGGTAATAATTTAAAGATTTCATTAGATGAGAGGTTGACTTTATCATTTAAATTGAAGTTTATTTTACAATAATAATAATTTACACTTATAGAGGGTATTCTGTGCAAGAGTTTCACTATGCTTACAGGCATAAACTTAACCTTACAAAATCTCTAAGTATTAATAACTCTAATCTACATATAATGAAACTAAGATATAGGAGATTGAGTGCATCTACATGAGATGCTACTGCACTGTGGCTAGCATGCAGTAGTGATGGGGAACGTCTATTAAATGATGCTACTGCACAGTAGCGTATTAGCACCGTCCGCACTCTGACGCGCTACTGTGCAGTATTATTTTCCTACTGTATAGTCAGTGTCTCATGTAGACATGGCCAGTAAGGGTTAAACTTTTACCAGTTATGTGACAACAAATGTACATGTGCGCATAGCTACCATATGTGCACATGTGAACAGACTACCATATTTCACGGTATACAAGTTGATGTGGTGTATAAAGTGACCCCATTTTTCTGGCTCAAAAAGTTACAATTTTCATAGATCCAATGTATAAGCTGACCTAACCTTCTGGATCAGAAATATGGGGTAAACTTATACTGGCCTCTGAGCGATCTCACTGTGGCCTGGGCACCCGAGGGGGGTGGACACATGCCATAGCATCGCTCTCAGGGGATGGGCCTGGGCTCGGTGCTCAGCTGGTGCAGCCCAGACTGTTGCTGGCAAGGGACAGGACCAGGCTCGGTGCTTGGCTGGTATGGCCCAGGCAGTACCACTCGCAGAGGACTAGGCCAGGCTCGGCGCTCAGCTGGTGTGGCCTAGGCAGTGCCACTCGCAGGGGATGGGGATTGGGCCAGGCTCAGCACAGCTGGTGCAGCCCAGGCAGCACTACCTGCAGAGGACGGGGCTAGGTTTGGCACTTGGCTGATGCGGCAGCGCTGCTTGCAAAGCATGGGAGCTGGGCTGGGTGTGCAGCTAAGTGGTGTCTCTATGGTGATGTGAAGGCCCACAGGCCATGCTCAGGCCAAGCCTGGGCCCCAGAGCCTCCAGCAACAGGGACACCATCTTGTGCTAGGTGAAGAAGGCTGGGTTGGGTTGGGGCCAGGCCAGGGTTCGGCCAAGGCTGGAGCTGGGCTAGCACTGGGGTGGGGGTCAAAAGTATTGATATGGTGTGTAAGTCGAAGTGGAAATTTTAAGGTAAATATGTTGGCTTCAAACCGACTTATATACTGTTAAATATGGTAAATGAATAAGAGGTCCCAGAATGGGAATTCTTGTCTACAATAATGTAAGTAGCAGGGAAAACAGGTGGAAGTATGGTATATGGGACAATATTAAGAATACCCATCATTAGGCTATTTAAATAAACTTTGATGACTCCTGGGGAAGGGAAGATAGATTGATTTAAAGACTCATTGTAGTATAATGATGGAAGAATGTTTGAATGGAGGGGATCTGGATAAAGGAGCCCAAAACAGGAGTTTTGGCAGGACTGCTGCCACTGCTTGGCCTCATGCACCTGGGGTCTGGAAGAATTATGATGCTGGTGATAATGTCTGCATGGAAATATAAAACATGGCCAAGCACTTTATATATACACAAATGTATAGACCACCCTCTGGACAATGAACCAATCACATACAAATACTTGACTCACATGTGTACAATGTAATTTCCTTGCATAATTAGGCAGGTGTAGATGAAAATACCAAGTTCTTTGTTTTTCATTTTGACAAACTATTCTTAAATTACCTGACCTAGATCTTACAGATTTTCTGATTTCTAATCCTATATTTTAATCACATCCTTCTCTCCTGTTTCATTAAAAAGGATCAAGGATCACAGAAAGGGATGATTTGCTTTGGTATGCAGAGCTGCACTGGAATAAGGAAAACAATATAATACATACTAGGTGCGTCTACACATGTCCCTGACTGTGCAGTTGGTACTGCACAGTCCCAGCAGCACATGGGTCATTTCTGACCCTACTGTGCAGTAGTAATGAGCTACTGTGCAGTAGCTCATTGCTACTGCACAGTAGTGGCAGTGTCATAATTAGTGCCCACCAATACTACGTCACTATAACATTTCATGTAGATGGGTCCAGTATGCACATAATGCTACTATACTCCCCTTTTCACTTTGTTTTACAGTAGGACTTTTGCCTAGTATCTTCTCTAGATCTCTCCTTCCTGGCTCTTGCTATGGAGTTAACAAACAGAAAAGTATATATATCTTAATACTACTCATTAAAGTAATTAAGAAAAAAGGGTCTTAGTTTTCTACTTTGTGGGTGCAATTATGTGCAATTACACATACAATTAAGATGGAGCAATAAACTCTGACATAGTCCATGACAGAATCAACTGCTCCCAGGTGCAGGGTCTACATGTGCACCTGGGACTGCAGCATTTTGGACTGAGACAAAGTAGCTGAGGCCTGGTACGGGGCCCAGGAGGTCAGCCCTGGACTCCAGGTAGCAGCATTGGGGCTGGCTGGGGCAGAAGAGCAGGCAGCCCCTGCATTTTAGCATCCTTGTACTGCAGCCAGCCCCTGTTACCAACTACATGTGTTTCAGTGCATACAAATACTCTGCTGTACAATATTACTGTCTCCATACTATCTTACAGCACAGTTAATAAATTTACTATGCCTTAACACCAGCACAGGTGTAGATGGTGATGCTTTACTGAAGAGCTAATTAGTCTATTCTGCAGTAACGTGCATGTGTAGATGCACCCTGTGATATACAATTTGTGGCTTACTCATTCCTTACTAAAATGCCAAGTCCCACTGATTGCAACAAAACTACTTTAATTCCAGAACAGGGGGCCATTTTGGCAAATACTTACTTTGCCCAAACTCTTCCAGTGGATGCACAAAATGAATGTAATTCTCTTTACTGGGACTCCTTTGTAGGAGTACATACCTGGAAGGCTGTGTAAGCTCTACCATCTGGCCTTTAATATTTGTTTGTATAAGAATTTCAGGGTTAGGTTCCTTTACTCTTAATTCTGCTTGTATGAAATTAACCCTTTCCTGATTTCTGTACAACTGAGGTGTGTTAATCTATTTCGCTTTGTAGCCTCTACACTGTGCATACAAGTAACAATTGAGTCAGAAACAGTCGTGCTGTTTTAAAAGCTTTTTTTCTTTCCCACAAATAAAGACACCATCTCTTTTTCCAAGGAAACAGTTTGAATTAACCAATAACCCCCTACAAGTATAACATGTTGGTGATATAGAACAAGTATTGATTAAAACAAAAAGTCCCTTTTAAACAGTATTAATTCTTACCAACTCCAGCAGTTATTGATTCTGCATCAATGTCATTAGCCTTTTTCTTTGCCACTTCAGCTAGCGCCAATTCACCCTTATCTAGTGCAAGGTAATGGATGTCCTTTGGAAATAAAGCAAAAAAAAGATTAATCTAAAATGAATCTTGGACAAGTAACAAAGGAGAATTTGAACAAGAAAGAGGCTCTTTTATTGCTTAGATTACAAACACAGATGGAACTGATGAACCTACTGTTACATTTTAATTTTCTCTTATTCTTTCCAAATGCAAATTTATTATCTTACTCATGTTGTTGAATACAAGGTCTCTGGTTAACAATACATAAAACATCAACCATCCATGAACTGATAAACGAAGGCTGTCAGCACTCCCTGGATAAATGAATCCTAACTGGAATGCTTTGAGAGTATTTTTGATGCCTATGCTTATGTTTGATGCAATACAAATTGCAGGGACTTTTGCTGGGATATGATTTGCAGTATTTTCTTTTGTGTGGCTCTTTGTTTACATATGACCTAAATTTCAGGAAGTCCCTAGATCTGAAGCTTGTATTTGGGGTATGACAGTATTTCTACCTGTGTAACTCTCAGGTTAAAGTTGTGCTGGCAACTCATTTTATGTAGAGAGGGCACGTCTACACGTGTGCTTTAATGTGCAGTAGCCTATTTTAATGTACATTAAAACATCACTAAAAACATGGGACATTTATACACATGCCTTTCCCACACGTTGGAGCAGACTCTACTAATAGAGTCTGTGGAGCACATGAGCCGCCGTGCCCAGTGCTGCGTTGCATGCATTTGTATAAATAGCAAAATGCATATTAGTGTGCTGAAAATGATGGCAGTGTGCTTTTGAACTAAACCACCTTTTGCTGTTTATACAAATGCACCTGATGCAGTGCTGGGCCCTTTGAAAAGTGCATGGTGCTGCAGCGAATGCATGCATATAAATGCCCATGCTTTTTAGTTAATGTGCATTACAATAGGCTAATGTACATTTAACATCACTTAAAAACCATGGGTGCCTATACATGAGCAGGGACACTGCTCCAATGTGTTGTAATTCTAGCATATTGGAGCAGACTCGATTAATTACCATGCTCCAGCAGCCTCCCATGTCTCATGTATCAGTGTCCCCGCACTTCAAAATGGTGGCAGGGGTGCTTTAACTAAACCTTATTCGATGAACTTTGAATAAAGCACCCCGATGCCATTTTGAAGTGTGGGGACACTGATACATAAGACGCTCCAGGCGCTTTAGA